GGTATTTCTGCTTGCAGCCAAAATGTTGGGTAGCCTTTTCTAAATTTCACCTTCAGCTCCTCATTAGTGCTTAGCTCGAGCAGCTCCTCTTGTAATACAACATTGGCCACTTCCGTTTCATCAAATGGATTTATGATCCATGGTGGTATATCCATCGTCAGTATATCTTCAAACCTGGTTTTGAAGTCATCATGCAGAGCACTTAAATGTTGACTGTAGGTATGGATATCCTCATCAATACATTCTACCTGCGACAAGTTTGGAAATTGAGAGAATTCGCGCCGACTAATGTTTTGCTTCATAAATTTCAATTTCCCAAGAAAAGCCGAAATTATCCCCTTTGTTTTTATTAAATTCAGGCTGTCCCCTTGTAACTGCAAGTTAATATCATTAAATTTTTTAAACAAATCTGTCAAATACGCAATGTCTGCTTTGAATTTGATCAAGTTTTCTTTTAAATCTGGATCTCTACTTTCTAAGAACTCTAATATGGAATCGAAAACAGAGTAAAATCTCGTTAAGCATGCACCTTTCGACAACCAGCGTACTTCAGTATGTAAGAGCAGTCGTTGGAAGTCTTCATCATTTTCGTCGCACAATTGAGCAAATAAACGCGTATTCAATGCATTGCTTCTGATTTTGTTGACAGCTTTTATTACAAAATGAAGAGATTGGTTCAACCTGTCACTTAAATGTTTTGCCACAAGATGTTGTCGGTGGATTACGCAATGAATAGCTGTAAGTCCTGGTATAATTCTTTTGAGATGACTTATAAACCCACGATATCGCCCGACCATTGCAGGAGCTCCGTCTGTTGCCACTGAAATAATGTTTGTAAATGGGATCGATTTTTCCGTAAAAAAATTACTCAGGACATTAAATATTGATTCGCCTTTAGTGTCAGTCTCCAAAGTTCTGGCAAATAGCAATTCTTCGTGAATTTCTTCCTCAACAATAAATCGGACATATGCCAATAGTAATGCTTCATTACTGGGTAACGTTGACTCGTCCAGTTGTATAGAAAAATGAGTTTTTTGCAGATGATTGCACAAAAAGCTTTCGATATCAGAGCTCATTTCATCAATGCGTCTTTGTACAGTATTGTTACTTAATGGAATTCTTTTTAGTACGTCAAATGGAGATTTGTGCAAAACAGTTTTTAAAACCTCTTCAACAGCGGGTAAAATTAATTGTTCTCCGATAGTGTGCGGTTTTCCAGATTTTGCTATAAGTAATGAGATATTGTAAGATGCCCGCAAGCCATCATCGTTACTTTGAGATGTTGAAGCGAACATACTGTGCATGGTGGGTCTCTTTCCATATTTTTCTTTCAATGTTTGAAAATATTTTAAATCTTTACCTATTTTATCAGTATGACACCTTTTTAGATGATCTTCGAGCTTTGATGGTTTCATAGAGTCATTGCTCAAAACTTTGTTGCATAATAGGCACATGGGCAATTGTTTGTCTGCCTCTGATGGAACAAAACCATATTTCAAATAATCGATACTATATTGTCGACATTTTTTCTTTGCTGTAGCCATGTTTCGTGTCAGTTACCTTACCTGTAAAAAAAATGTTTTAGTAACCAAGTTTTTTTCTGAATATAGGTATCACACCGCAGCCTTTGTCAGCACGCGGAAATAGAATTACGGCTTGTAAAGGGACCAACTAATAAACCGCTGAGACAAATACAGACGTTTTCACAAAACGGTATCAATTTTAAAGTACATAATTTACCACTAATTTTTAATAGTATAAATAAAAATTGGTGTACTCAGTATCGAATACTGATCATATTTGTGTAGGAAAAATAAAAGTCGAAATCCCAAAATTGTCCATAAAAACGATAACTAACATTTTATTAAATCAATGAGTTCACGCGCTCCGTGTATTTGCGTATTTTTTGTCTGCGGCTTCATTGTTAAAACGTGACAAACTGGCATCGAAGTCCAAGCCCCGCCCTTTTCCCGTCGCCCGCGCACCGCTCGCTCTTTCCGAAAAGGAATAGTTTTGATAAAATAGTTACTTCAAAACCAATTTAAAATGATTATGAAATTACTGTTTTATAAAATTAGTAGTTATTTGCAAGAAAAATTACAAAATTAATTGCTCTGCAATATTGCTTATTCGGCCTTTTTAGAGAGGCAGTGTTTCTCTCGTGAAAAACAATTGAATAAAACGTGCTGTGTTTGTCTTCAAATCGAAAGAGGACAATTAAAATATCTGTAAGTTACTAAGTTACCTATCTATACAGGCCGTTGTGATCAACCGACTAGTACACGTAAACAAAATACTTAAGTACTATAACAAAAAAAGGTAGGTTACTTACTTTTCTCCGGCACTAGCAAACACAGATATAAATTTTCTCACAACTTTTTTCCAAATTCCGCCTTTTTTCGAAATTCCGGAAACAAATGAATGCGTTTGCCTTTGGTATCAAGTATTTATAGTGGTGATCAAGTTCATGTCTGAACAAGCATTAAGCATTGTCGGGCGGATAGCGCTTTGCAAGTCTGTACACGAAATTGTACGTAATATCGAATACGCAAGTTTGGACAAGTAACAGTCGCTTGCCTTATTAAAATATTATCTGCTTAGATAGGTACTTAAAACAATGTAGGTAGGCCCTTATAAAAACTATGCTTACATTTTTGCTCTTTACTATCAAAAGCAGATAAATTTTCGTGGACCCCCATTAACATCTTATGGACCCCCATTTTTTGTTCACGCCTACGTAGACCCCCAGCAAGTCTCCCGTGGACCCCTGGGGGTCCACCTGGACCACTTTGGGAATCACTGGTGTATTGTATGCTTTATGTGTATTATGCATATACATATTATGTAGTCCGCGTAGTTTCGATTTACTTTACTGCTGTGTCAATAAAATAGGTATTAAAAATAAAATAAATGGAAATTCAAAATCAAGATTGAAACTTATTATTTGGGTGAAGAAAATACTATTTACACCAAATAACACTATTTAGCTATACAGGATGTCCGAGAAATAAATGCAAGTATTTTAAGGAGTGGTAGATCTGGCCAAAAGAAACATATTATCTTCTCTTTACCTTTTTAAAATGAACTGATAATAACCGAGTTGTCTAACTTTAAAATTTTAAAAAAATAATGGCAACAGTTTGAGAGCCGCCGGTAACAATCGATAATCAACCGAAAGTACCAAGCAATTACCAGAATCTCAGCTTGTTCGACGCCCAGTGTTGACACATCGACTAGGAAGATTTAAAAACGGCTTGGAAAATTCAGATTAAAAGTAAAAAACTTATCCAACATTAGAAAACGGGACTCCGATAGATAGTAAACCGATTTAATTAAGTAGAGCGTCGTTTTATCACTCTAGCACAACACTTTGTAAATACATTCAAATGCAATTAGGATTATTTTTTTGAGAAATCCCCCGTTTTTCTATCTCTCACTCTTGTTTTTGTGAATAAACACCAAAATAATTTATATTTCTATTTGAATATTAAAATTATTTATACAACCTTATCTTGCGTTTGCATTTTTTTTTAGTTTTGTCAGAGGTTTTTTGAGTAAAATTTCAAATAAATTAGATAACCTAAAAATTCAATCAGCTGATCTGTTTAAATGTAGGTCAAACGTAGACTATTTATACATTTATATATCTAATAGAGGGCGCTGATTGACACTGCTGAATTGAACTGATTGAAAAGCTGATAATTAATTGTCCATTATTTAGTTTTACTATACTGTAAAAAATGTATATAGAATATAGAAGACGTTGCACTATAACTTAATAGTAATGTACAATGATTAAAAACTCTACAGTGAATAAAATTAATTATCTTTTTTAATATTTTTTTGTAGAAATTTAAAAGCTGAACTTATAACTTATAAACATACAGGATGTGGATAACGTAGGATGTGCCAACATTGCATTTTCTCAAAGCACCACAAACAATTTTCCGAAAACTGAACAAGCAGCACTCAAAAGTTTTTCAATATTTTGCGGAAAATGTCAAGGAAATATAAAACTTTTAACATTTTTTTTCGCAAAAAAAACAATGGTCATGTTTCTGGGGTCGAACCAAAATGTAGAACTATACCTACTACCAGTTAAAATACTTGCACTTATTTCTGACACCCTGTATATCAGATTTGACATTGTAAAAGTAATATTTATTTACTTAAATACCGTTACTATACAGAACGAGTCTTAAATAAATACAAATATTTTTAGGAGTAGTATATTTCGACCCCAGAAACACGATTATGAGTTTTTTTTCGCGAAATGTTTTTTTTTGTAAATTGGAATTTTTTGAAAAAAAATATGGATTTTTTTAAAATTTTTAGTTAAGTAAAGTTTAGTTTAGTAGATTAACCCAGAGAAAGAAAACCCAGAAAAAATCCAGTGATTCTCAAAATTTAAGCAAAAAACATACTTTTTGGCTATTTTCAAAGTAAAATATATCGGTCATTTTGGACTTATTTGAAAAACGGTAAAGAGAAAATATGTTTCTTTTATCGAGATCTACCAGCCCTGAAAATATATGCACTTATTTAAGACTCACCCTGTATAGGCAAAATCTTTTGTTTTCCAAATATAAAAGGTCAACATATCTGGTGAATTTTAATTTTCATTTAAATTAATAATAACTTCAAATTATATAATTTTTACCTATCGAATATTAGTTTTAAAGATATGTTTTCCGACACAAATTTTCCTAAGGAACTCTGTGCGACTTAGAAAAACAATTTAAATTAATTTTCTCAAACGGTTTCCGTCCGAACGAGTCGAGATGAAATTTCGAAACTTCTCGAAAATAGGTTAATTTTAATTTCAATTTTGAATTTAAAATATGCATATCAGCATAAAATCTAATTAAGAAAGTTCTTTTTTCGAGAATCAGCAAAACCGCCCGCTTTATTAATTTACCTCTTGTACAAGGCCGGTTTCGGAAATCATTTTTAATTAAAATTTTTCACCAGAAACAACTAAAAATTAATTTAAAACTTACTGGTTCTGGTCTGGAAATCCGAGTCGTTGGTGTCAGTGAAAAGCCATGTCTGAAACAAAGAAAAATAATGTTTAGAGAGTGATAATTAGTCAGCGACCGAGCGATAATTAGTCATAAACCGAAATGTGTAATTATAATTAAGTTTTTTTAAAGGACAGTATTATAATTAATTAGGTTCCTAAATTTTATAGGCGGCCGGTATAACCAAATATCCAATGCCAATATCTTTAGATTATGAGTTACACCATCCTTTGGTTATGACTGCTCACTTGTTTGCTAAGCTATTGGCCCAGGCACGATTGGATTTAGATTTAATTTTAAACTAGAAATTATTCACAGCATAAATCGAATCCATTAAATACATACTATATGTATGTATCTATGTATATATGTAATATCTCTGCCAGATCAAATAAATAAGGAAAAGGTTTAGCACAGAATATTTCAACGCCAAAATAGAATACATGCTTCAGTTAACACTAGTTAAATAACGAGGAAACATTTACTTTACCTTTAATAACATTTTCTGTCACAATAACCAAAATGTACAAACCAAAATAACATTAATGCGTCTCAAACAGTAGTCTCAAAGCTATTTACCTAACCACCTACCTACTGTTCGTTATCTGATTTCCCTCTCCATAGTTTGCGAGTAATATTTTAACAATCAATAATTTTGTTTATGTATACAGAGTGTCTTAGAACTGAATATTTTAAATTTTAAGAAATATGTTTATTTTTAAATATAGGCGGTTCATCTCATAGTTCAAAAGATAAAGGAACTGTTCAAACCTGTTAAATTTGACATAACATTAATAATATGTTCATAATTCATTATAGCAATAAAAACATATCAAAAGTATCAAAAACACCTACGCTAATTTAATTAAAATTCAACAATATATAGGAGTGTATGAATTAATTTTCAAATAACACAATAGAGTGGTATTTCGCTCATCAGGGATGACAATCTTGGAGTCCATCAAGGAAACTTATAGGCCCATAACATAATGAACCTATTCTAATGCTCCTTTATGTGTTTATGGTTTATCTTCTTACAGCACCTGTGGGACTAATAATAACGTGGGACTATAATATTCTAACTTTTGTTTAATTTGATACCAATCGCCAGGTAATGTGGTTAACACAGTGCCGTAGGGGTGTCTAAGTAGATTAATGTAAAAAATATCATAAATTTAGACGCAATATTTTAATATTTATGATGTGATATCTAATACCCATAAAGCAATTTAACAAAGTCTGTAACTCCAAAAACTGTTACGAACGGTTAAGAACTTTATCTACATTTTATCACTTATCTTTACCGGTAATTGTAAATGACTGATACATTTTATTCAAGAGTACTCCCTTAGACTTTAACATGGAAATTAGTTTACTAAAGGTAGGTCTAAACAAGAATACCGTCTAGAAACTAAGACACTGAAATTCAATTAACTCAGTTCAAGGAAAACGTGGTATTTACGAGCCCCTTTTCCAATAAAATCCATGAAAAACGACCATTTGTCTGCCGGATGGGCCCTAACACTATAAAGTGTCTCTCAAAGTTTATGGTCTCTATCTTAGAAGTATATTATGCATAAAATGTTAGAATAGTATAGAACTAGAGACATTCTTAAATCGTAACAAAAATATCGTACACGGCAAGCACCTTTTTTTAATAAGGTTTTTTGTAACCACCGCTGTCTGTACACATCAGTCTCATCAGTCTGTACCTGTGTTATTTGTTAGCATCAGTTGTCTGATGAGGTTGTTGTCTGAACTGGTTACCTCTCTAGTCAAGAGTTTTGTTCAATTTTTTTTAAAACTCAACGCATTCTTTTCGCCATATTCATAGCACTCCTTTTTTTTACCTTTTCTATACCATTTTTTTAAATGGTTAGTTGAATTTAAATGGTTAGTTGATAATAGTTGAGTATGATGAGACTCAAAAGTTAAGAGTATTTAGACAAAACAATTTGGTGGGTGTTATAATGGATATAATGGACTGTAAGAAGCAATAGAGTCCGTTGGAAAGAACAATTGACAATACTGCTATACATTGTTGGTGGTTGCTGGAAGTATAAATATGAACACAATACTTATTACTTTTATACTGAACTGTGATATTTATAAAGGTATTGAAAAATGTATCAGAACAATTTTTCAAATAAATCAAAGATGCAGAAATATATTTGCTGAGGGAATTATGACAGTGATTTGAAATTTGAATGAATTACTTACTATTACAGTTGAAAGTTGGAACCTCTGCTGTTACTACTGCAAAATAAAACACTAATTTACCACAATACACCAAAACACTTTACTTTTGCAAAAGTAAAATTTTCGATTAAAACTGCAGATTTAATCATTTGCTGATGAAAATGTCATGGTTAGCGAAACGGGCGTCCAGCGCGAAAGTAAAGTGTTTTGGTGTATTGTGGTGAATGTTATATTTTGCTGATTTGAATAAATTACTGTCTGTCTGACTTAAATAAAATTGTTACATCTGTGCAAGTAGTCTCACACATTGTTTTCAAATTGTTGTAATAAAAGAGTTTTCTTTTTGAAGACAAAAAAACTTTCTGGCCGAGCAGAAAATGGAAATTAAGATTGTATAGGCTGTACAGGCTGGCACAAATGATACCTAATTAAGTCCAAAAGAAGGCCGAGAATCATTTATAAGGACCATTCTATATATAACCAATTTGGATGAATCAACGTAAAACTGTGTACGCATTGGTGAAGTTGTGAAGTCTGACCTTACTGTTGTCATTTTGCGGAAGACAGCATAGTGTACAAATTGCCACTTTATTTTATTAATTTTATTGGCTAGTGACTTTAAAGATGCGTCATCAGAAATTCCTATAAAGAAACTCAATAAAACTTATGGAGTTAAATAAGAGATGGACACGCTCTACGGATGATCTATAATATTTGTTAGGCAGTACAGAATCTCCATCACTGGTCTTACTGCGCGTGAAATAATTGGTGTAATATAAAAAAAGCGTAGAATAGGTAGTTGTATAAACATAAACAATATGTACTACAACGTATTTTTCTTTTCCCTCAACGCAGATTTATCCACTCCTGGATATAGATCTTTCCTATCCTATATTCTGTGCTGTGTTTAACCACCGTTTACGTTCCACTTCCTTAATGTCACTTTTTTGTAGACGTCCTACACTTCTTATAGTTTGTTACAAAGTTACGCTTTACAAAGTATTCATTAAAATAGATAATTAAATGATAGATTTTTGAAATGTTCTGGCATGTGATTGTAGGTATGTTTGATATTAATTTTGTACCCATATGAGCACTAAAAATGGGAGCACTGACTTAAAATAACACAACAAAGAACACAATATTTGGGACAACTAATACACAGCTGGGGGCTCGACTACCAGAAATCAACAGAAGAAATTAATTAAGAATTAGCATGGGGTACTTATGCAAGAAACTCAATCATATTTAAATTTAGAATGCCACTCTAAAGAAGAAAACATTCGACCAATGTGTACTAGCAGTCATGACCTATGCATGCAAAATATGGACACTTAAAACGGGCATCATAAGGAAACTGCAGGTCGCACAACGCTCAATGGAACGAAATATGCTGGGAATATCCAAGAGAGAGGGTAAAAAATATATTTTTGACTATTAATAACAATAAATAATATTTATAACCGCATAGCCAACAACAGACAACAATGGGCCCAACTACAAATAGAGTATGTGAGGAAGGTTACGACATAATTGGAATTGGTTGAATAAGATGAAAATGATGAATGTGAATTGATTAAAAAGTTTGAATTGTGTTGAAAAATGTTTGAATTGATTAAAAAGAAAAAGACCGCATACCTGGGACACATAATGCGAAACCCCAAATATCAATTCTTGCATTTGTTGATAGAAGGCAAGATCGAAGGCCGAAGGGGTATCGGAAGGAAGAAAATGTCTTGGCTGAGGAATATCAGACAGTGGACGGGGCTACTCGATGTTCAGTCGTTAATACACACCGCCCGGAACAGAGAAGCAATGGAAAATGTTATCGCAAACATCCATTAATGTATCTGCACTAGAAGAAGAAGAAGATGAATGTGATAATGAGCACTAAAATTATACTTCACTTATTAATAAAATGCTGTAAAAGATCTCTGTTATTCCACAGAAACACTGATTATAAATAATCATAACAAAATAATCCATTTTTTAATAATCCAATTTTTCAATTCTCCAGTATTAATTCTAGACTACGACATGACAAATGTAGACCTCCTTTAAAAAAAGGATTTATAAAAAGAAGCAAGTGCTTGAAGCCGTAGGCGTTCCACGACACTGGGTCTTACTTCCATCCACCACCATCACTGACGCGTAACGTATTGTTCCGCCGTTTTAGGACCCCCTCATTTGTCCGGTCTCCACGCGTGCATTGCGGAGGGAGCACAAAGAACCCCGTTTTCCCACGGGTACACGAGTTGCGCGTGCGACATTTACCAAAGGGCATTGTGCGGGGTAACAATGGTGAGTTGTTTGGGAACTGTTGACACACGACTTGTCTCTTTTCAAACCCGATTGATACTCCTCTTACCTTTATGAGGCGAATAATGCGAGGATCGGATTGATAGCATATATCGTGAGAAATGGCCGTTTCCAAAGATTTAATTTTCCTGTTAATTTACCAATCGAGAGGACTTTTTTGGTAACTTACAGTATGATTATAATATAGTTATAAATCTAATTAATATTGAGTGACTATATTCAAATTCATACAGGACGTTTGATTCACAGTTTTGAGATATTAAAAATACAACAAGCAGGTTTGCTCTACTACAGGCATTTATACACTACGGATATATTGTAAGGTTTTAACATAGATAAAGAAAACAAGTTTAGATTGGATTGTTCGGCTTGCCGCAAAAACTTATAATTGTTTGGGAGCGCATACGTTGTAGGGCGCTGATACAGCGGTTGCTAGGAACAACTGCAAACAAGAAAAGAAATAATTTTCCCTTGTCAAAGTCAGAATCTTCAAAAATTATAAAATCTTTT